CTTCTTCTTCTTCTTCTTCTTCTTCTTCTTCTTCTTCTTCCTCTTCCTCTTCCTCTTCCTCTTCCTCTTCCTCTTCCTCTTCCTCTTCCTCTTCCTCTTCTTCTTCTTCTTCTTCTTCTTCTTTTTTTTTCCAGAGACTGGGTTTTCCTGTGTAGCTTGGAGCCTTTCCTAGAACTTACTCTGTAGACCAGGCTGGCCTTGAACTCACAGAGGCCCACCTGCCTCTGCTGGGATTAAAGGCGTGCCAGTTACCACCACTGGAAGGCCACCCTGCCTTAAAAGAAACAAACAAACAGGGGCTGGAGAGGTGGCTCAGCAGTTCCCAGCACTTGCTGCTCTTTAGAGGAGACACTTTGGTTCCCAGCACTCACAGAGCAGCCCACAATCATTTTTAAGTCTAGTTCCCAGGGACCTCATGCCCTCTTCTGATCTCTGAGGGCATGAGGCATGCATATGGTTCACACACACACATACAGGCAAAACACTCATACACTTCAATTTTCAAAAACTTTTTAAAAAGAACAAGACAAAGGGCCAAAACTGTTCATAAGAAAGATGGGCAGCTGTCTCGGGTATCAGGAGGAAGTAGCAACGGTCAGTCCCCATTTGCAAGGGAAGGAAATGGGGAACAAATCTAGGAGAGGTGAGTTTGGGATTGGCAGTGGCTCAGTTTAGGTGGGGGTCTGCTGGGGGGTTGGTCCTGCTATGCCAATATAACCACCTCCAGGACTTTACAGGGCTCTGATGACCTCTTTGCTGCAACCTACCTCAAAAGTTCTGGCCATGTCCAACTGAGGCTTCCCCAACCCACTAACATCAGTCCTTGGACTGGACAGGACCTGGGAGCTTGCGCTTTCAAGACGTGAGCACGTTAGCACTGATATACTGCCCAAGATATTATGAGTCTAGCCTTGGCTAACAGACATTCATAGTTAAAAACAAAGGTTTTATTATGGGTGAGAATACTTAGCCCAGGAAAGGTGAAAGCAGTACTTTTTGATAAGCAGGAAGGTGTGGACCACTTCTGAAGACCTAAGAACCAGCTACTTATGCAGACCCATGGGTCACAAACTGAAAGTGGGCAGGTATCTTCTGTCATCACCAATGTTAGCTTCTCCACCATCACCGTCACGAGCATCACTGCCATCGTAATTGCCATCATCACCGTGCCGTGCCACGACCGCTGTCAATACCACACTTCATTATCATCATCGTGGTGTTAGTCAGCTCTCTGTCACTGCCACAAAGTCTGAGTCAACTTTTTAGGGAGCTAAGGCCTATTTTGGTTCACAGTTTTAGAAGCTGGGCCCATGGCGAGGAAGAACATGGCAGAAGTGCATCGCAGAAGAAGTTGATCATTTCATAGCATCCAGGAAACAGAAAGAACAAGAAGGGGATGGGGTCTTATATGCCTTCGAGGGCACACATTCAATAACTTAACTTCTTCCTCTAGGGCCAACCTTCTAACTATTTTACCACTTCCCACCATGGATTAGGGCTAGGTGGTCAGTACAAGAACCTCTGGGGGACATTTAGGATCTAGACTGGAAATTACCACCATCACCACCATCAGCACCATCAGCAGCACTAACATCACCACCATCACCACCATCAGCACCACCATCACCATCAGTACCACCATCACCACCATCACCACCATCAGCACCACCATCACCACCAGC